CCAACTTGACTGGCCAGCCTTCGGGGGGAAAACCTCCAACAGTACATCTTGTTCTCCCAAGTTATCAAGAATGACTAGCATATCTTACTTGTACAGCTCTCCAGACTTGATCAACTACTTCAAAGAGACTATTAAGAATATTGAGACTGTGGTCTCCCAAATGGAAGAAGAAACTGTGGAAGACAATCCTACGAAAGACCGCCGGGCCATCGATCTGGCTAATGCCGTTCAAATCAAACAGATCCAAGAACAAATTGCCAGTTATTGCGCCAAAAGACATGTCCTTGACTCCTTGGTCCCTGACGCGTTGGTGATTTGGAATATTTGCAGGGTCCGACTTGGAAGAGGTAAGCACTTTGTCTGACCAAAGGGATTGTTCCTTATCACTGACATGGTAACTTGTAGATCCGATTCGCATAGCAAGCTGGGCACCTATAACTGCATCTAGCACCCCCTCAATGGGAAGCTTGGCTACCAAGAAATAGGTTTCTGGAGTGGAAACCAACCTCAGTATAGGGACTGTAAGCATGAAATATACTTAATTGTCAATACATGGGCTCTGTTTACCAAATCGCAAGCATGGTAATTCTGACACCTCCTTGTTGCTTGTTCCCTCAACGGATTGATGTCGTAACCTTTGGGTTGCTTCAACAGATATTAAGCACGGCGTGCTTAATCCATAACAACAGTGTGCTTTACCCACGGAATTCCAACTTGATTTTTATCCGTTATCAAATCTCACTTATACCACCTACTTGTCAACCCTCTTCTTCAACTCCCCATTTTTCAGTAGATTGACAGTTATTGGTATGAAAATTTCATATGTCAAGATTCAGCTTCCATGGTTATGCATGGATGTGGGGAGAAGTTTTCCGAGATGGATATAGTGGTTTTCCACCTTCAACAAATTTGGAACCCGCAGGTGGTAAACTTGGATGATAATTCAGCTTGTCCATATGTGAATTGTGAGTTATTCTGATCTTGGGATGGGTTTCCAGGTTGAGAGAAGCCTGATGCTCTGTTCTTACAAGGCAATCTTGTATGGTGAGAAACGTTGTTGCTTGAGAATCAAGCCCACCAGGCTTGCCTCTCTAAATATTGCTTGGATTGGACTACTTTTTTATCATAGATAATACCATGACATAGTCTTACAAGTTGCCCAAAAACCTCCAGTACAAGTAATCAAAAAGGACAAATGTTTGAGAATGAAATGGACGCTCTAGTGGATACTTTATTCATGGCCACTGATCCGAGCTCCATAAAATGAAGGAATTTTATTCTCAAGATTACCCTCAACACTTAGCTCTCCAGGAAAGTAATGTCCACAATGGATGTATGCATGTGTTGTTACAATATTCATATAAGCTCTTTGTAGGCTAGACAGTCGCATTTCTTTCACCAAGTTTTTTTCAATAATCAATCCACTTTCGATTGAGGTACTCACATGTGTAATATGAAATTCAAAAATAAAGAAGACATGCAACATAAACTTACCTTTTTTTGCAGGCATCTATATGCGCCAAGCCTGAAAAGATTAAGCACGCCGTGCTTAGCTAATTTGCGGCAACTGGGAAGTCAGAAATATCTGTGGGTGAGTGGGAGACGACTTGAATTGGTCAAAGTTGCTCCATCCTTTGGTATAGCAAAATTATGGAACACATGTCTTTCTTCCCCTTCACCATCAAGGAGTGATCAGTCAATAGATTAAGATACTAATACATAAGGTCGTTTGGAGTTTTCTCTTCAAGGTTTTCATGACCTTCCACGCTTTTTTGTAAGTTTGTTCTCTTTGATGACATTCAGTTGCAATGTTTTCAATCTAAATCCGCTTGCACCTAAGTAGAAAACAATCAGACACTTAACACAAATTCATAAATTCAACTAGCCAAAAACAACATACTCAACTCCCACTACTAGGGCCTGGCAAACCTCCCAAACCAGGATCTCCAAACTTCTGCCGAGCCATTTGAGCCATCCCCGTTCCTCCTCGTTGAGTCATTTCCTTCAAAGTTTGAACTTTGGCATCCAAATCAATGGCTTCTTTGGCATCAAGGTGCTCCTTTTCGATTGGAGAGAGACCTAGCAAGAACGTGGGATTGTATGCATCTAAGGGAAGCTTCCGTGGTACCATGTCAAATTCTACGGCTACACCTTGGATTGAAACTGGATCTCGCTCAAGAAGCTTGCGGGTAGCTGCTTTTTCGGCCGTGGTTTTGCAGATCGTCAAAGCCATCTCGTCAAGTTTGATAGCACACATTGTGAAAGCTGCACTTCTCCATTGGAGGGCAATGCGCTTGGCCTTTGCTGGAGCTGGCTGGTCCTCCCAATCCGAGATTGTTTCCTTGGTGAACAGCAATGCTAAGGACGGTTGGTTTCCCATCTTCTTCATTGCAACATCTCTTCTTTTTTCTGCAATCTGAACAAAAAGGGACCATGTCAACATATAATGGGATTATGCAACCTGCTGAAGGATTAATGAAACATACCTTGGTTTTTCCTCGGCTGATGGAAGCTTTCCTTGCCTTCTCTCTTTTCAAATCATCCAATGATTTTCCATCTGAGCGGTCCCCCTTTTTCATCAATTTTCCCTGACCCTGAACCCAACGATCCAATATTTTCTCCATATTTGAAGTTTCATCCCATAAGGTCCCTGCTTGCGACTTGGCCCATTGATAGTAGTGTTTGATAAGTATGGTTCCAAGCGTCCCATTCCAAGGCGAAGCAGTGAATGATCGAGCCGTCCACTCAAACGTCAGCCGTCCGAATCCTGCAAGTTGGATCTCCTGTTCGCAAGATTTTTTCACGTGGATGGGGATGTTGATTGCACTATTCAGAACATCTCCGGAAGGTTTGAATGATGGTGGAGTCAAATGCTTTCGTATACGGTCCATTTCGTCACGGTACATTTTTTTGAGAGTAGGTTTGGCGACCTCCTTGTTCTTCTCAGTGAAGCTCTTTAAGTGTGCAGTCACCTTATCATAGCGGTTCTTAGTCCAGTTATCCCAAGTATCCCATTCCTTCTTAGTCGGGGGCGCTGGGTAAGCACTGAGTGATGCAGGCATTCCCATCATGAACTTGATGAAGTTTCGGATTGAGCGGGATAAGCCTCCGGACTGGCTGGGAAGCTGTTGGCCAACAACAGCCTTTCGTACTTTGCGGGTGTTTGCTTGAGAATTTTCATGAGCACGTTTCCTCTTTTCACGCTCCACTTGATGCTTCAAGGCGGCCGTTGGATCTTCAATTCCACTGTCAGAATCTGATGGTAATCAGGGTAGTAAGGAGCATTAGCTACTCTTTTGTTTGAAGACATCAAACACCTGATGGACTTCTGCTCCCAGATGACAACAGAAAATATTTCAAAACTGACCTTCATCATCTTCATGATCCTCTCCGCCACCACCCAACATCCTATCAAACTCATCATCATCTGCATTTGCAGCACCTCCACGCCCGCCTTGAGATGTTGATGCATCACCATCTCCTGCCGGTCTCTCGTCCTCCTCTGAGGTATCCATGTCGTGGGGGGAGCTCATCTTTGTACTTAAGTCCCTCAGCTTGATGTTTTTCAGTAATCATGTTACATGAGACAATTGGATTGGGAGAGATGCAAGGGAGTGGTCAGTGAAGGATCAGTGATGTGCTCATAGCTGAAATTGGTTTTTTGGGA